CGTCCCCCCCCCCCCCCCCATGCGATAATTTTTTATGTACTCTCACCAACTCTCATTGACCCTCATGTACCCCCACCAAGCCCCATTGACTCCCATGTACTCTCACCAACTCTCATTGACCCTCATGTACTCTCACCAACTCTCATTGACCCTCATGTACTCTCACCAACTCTCATTGACCCTCATGTACTCTCACCAACTCTCATTGACCCTCATGTACTCTCACCAACTCTCATTGACCCTCATGTACTCTCGCCAACTCTCATTGACCCTCATGTACTCTCACCAACTCTCATTGACCCTCGTGTACTCTCACCAACTCTCATTGAGAGTTTGGCGCATGTCAACTTTCATGCAACTCTTGTTCTCGTTTGACCGGGGCATGAGAGTCAAACTCTCGCTTATCAACTCTCATCCACGTTTGACCAGGCCTTTAAATTTCCATCTCAAATCATTAATAATTCACGATGAAATTAGCCAACCGTATTGCTTTATTTTACTCACATGATAATACTGGATACCTGACGAAGTATATTGATTCAGTCTTTGCACTGGATCAAAATTAATTTACTTCACATTAAGTAGTGATTTATTCGTATCAGATGTAATTTCAAACCCTCCAATTTAGACTGGACTAGATTTCAAGTCCTCACATTTTGATCCAGTCCTGGCTTCGCTTTGCGCGGCTTGAAATCTAGTCCAGTCCTCGTGGTCGATTTGAAATATATAGGGTTGATTAATCATGGATTATAGAATGCTACAGTGTAATATTCGTTACTCCAAAAAACTACCTGGGGCCAGTTGTTCAAAGCTGGGTTAACCTAACCCTGGGTTAACGTGAAATTCAAAGCAAATTTCCCAACATCGTCTTTATAATTTTGGAAATATTTTTTAGAGATCTTGTCTGAACCAGCAGGAGTTTTCTTCTCGGAATTTTGAAATAAACAGACGTGCAGAAATACATAAACTAAAACGCAGGTTAAATTTTAACCCAGGGTTAGCGCGAATCCAGCTTTGAACAACTGGCCCCTGATGTAAATGACGTGTGTCAGAGTTTGATTCAGGGTTCGAAATAATCGCCTGTCTATTTGTCGATTCCAGGTGATTTTCATAAACGGCAGGAATAAAAACTGCTTACCTGTTGCCTGCGACAGGTTGAGACTGGCGAGGACCTTTGTTTTATGGAGTTTAGAGTACATACTGTAGTATGGAAATAATGGAAGAGACAAGTAAAAAAAATACACAACCTGTCACCATGGTCAGGAATAAAATTAGGAATTTTTTCAACCCTGTTGGTTGTGGTATTGTTTACTTCTTCTGACAAGGAGAACGAGGTGAAAGTATCAGCGGCGGTATTATTTTATTTCATTACAGTCACACATACCCCGAATATGATTTTTGATATGAGTAACTAAATTGTGCATAAAAAACCTCATTAATAATTCATGAGGAATACACTGTCGTTGGTTTTATATGTGATAAAAAATAATTGGAATTGTAAAAAAGCTAAATGAGAAATATGTTGTATTCCAAAGGTCGTCGGTTCGATTCCCACCGTGGCCAGGCATATTTTTCAAGCTTGCCCGGTGTGGATATACACTCAGAGTAACATCACAAACATCATGTCGATGACATTAATATTGCCACACGGGCAATACCCCCTGGAATTAGGTATAAGGATGGCGAGACCTGTATCGATGACCAGTCAGTCACGGAGGATAAGCAAGGAGTGCTGATGAAAGAACGATGATGATAATTAAAGAGATAGGAGATCGGATATCCATCCGTCAATTGGGTTGGAGGTGGATTACCCGTCAAAGCACCAGAAGATTCCAATCTTGGATATGAAAGTGTGGGTGGAGACCAGAGAAAGAGACCATAATGGGCAAATGAAGCGAGTGGCAGTTATTTTGTATGAGTTTTACAGTAAGATTATGGCATCGAACTGATCGAAGGCGATCGTAAATGCAAGGTCTGTGTTACCTTGGACTGTAAAGAGAACTGTGTTAACACAGGAGGTCTTAAGGGTGATGTTACACTGTAGTAGGTTGCTACCGTGGGAGGTCGTTGTCAAACATGTTGACGAGGTTGTGCTACGAATGCAGTTTTCTGGGTACACCAAGAAGTTCAGGTACGAGGTTGTTGATTCAGCCCTTAAAGCATATAGAGCGATATAGAGGAAGGGGTTAGAGGCGGATGTATCGACCCAAGGATTGGAACAGAGAAGAGCGGGAGCAGGAGAGAGCCAGAAAGAAAGTAAATTGTACAAGAAGAACGGTAGTGAGTCGGTATTGTGCCGGCCACTCGAGGGATGGGGATGAAGGAATCTCGTTGAGTACATGAAGTACTCGCTTATTTTTCAATATGGCGTCAAACTGAAGAGGACGTTTATTTTTAAAATTACTTCGCCAATGAACTCTTCAAAGCCTAATTCCACGACGAGCGAAATGCGAAAAATTTCGCACGAAAAGGTTCAACGCATGCGCAACATGATTTTGGAATGTTTCTCTGCGAAATATTTCTCTTCGCCGGGTAGTTGAATTCGTTTCTACTCCGTTGCGAAATGGAAATAGCGAAGCCAATCAAATGCTTGTGTTTTGGATGAAAAAATAGCGAAGCAAATCAAATGCTTGTGTTTTGACGAATTTTTTCTCTACTGTGGAAATCACTACACGGGAGAAAATTTTCGCTCAAGTGTGTTTTCGCGCGACATTTTTCGCATTTCGCTCGTCGTGGAATTAGGCCTTTAGATGGGTCGTTTTTTAAGCCATTTAAAACATTCGCAGTCGTGCTTCACCGAACCTGCGAGTCCGGTGCAGCCTCTAACCAACTGAGCTACAGAGTCCAGCTGTGGTGCTCTAACGACAGATTCATGTTCATAAAGCCTGGCGCACACGATGCGATTTTAGTCGGCCAATAAAAATCGTTTGACATACCGATATACATCGGTATACTCCGCACACGATTACGAAAAAAATACGCTCCCTAACTGTAGCCGCCATGTTGCCAAATGAAATCTGATTGGTTATACTTAAAATAATATCAAAACGTTTTGATGTTGTCCGATTAAAATCGAGCAACAAGAATCGGTTAAAAATGACACCGCACACACAACGATTTTGTTAGTTTTAGTCAAACGATTTTTATCGGCCGACTAACATCGCATCGTGTGCGCCAGGCTTAAGGTGATCCGATTGTAAGATATGGGTAAATATCAGGACTTTTGGGCTCTGATTCGATTGAACTAATGTTGAACGGTTTTGTTTAGATGGATTTCATAGTAAAAAAATTCATATTGTTCAATGTTGCAAATTAGATTCCCTTTGTTTTTGGTTACTAAAAGTAATCTAATGGTATCTCCGACAACGTTTGGTCAACGTTTTTACCTTTGACGGTGAAAACGTTATTAAAGAGAGGTCTTTTACTATAAAATATGTTACATTTCTTCTTACAATGACCAAATAGTACACATACCAAAATCATGCATATTTGCCCGATGCGAAGGTATGTTGTGCATCCTGTGTATTTCGTATATTTGCAAATACCGCGAGAGCTCTGTGAACGCGCATCATGCAAGTTGATTTCCAAGATTCAAAAGAACTCTTAAATTTATATATTAAACTCTATTACCGATTTGTCATATCTTGCTTAGTTCTCGAAATATTTAGACCAAAATTATAATAAGCTGTCCCGCCATCTTGGACTGATTCTTGACCTCATTAACTATGGTTTTGATGACGTCAGAACATTTATTACGACTTATAAAAACAATTCAATGAATTTTGTTAACAATTAAGCACAGCCAATGCCCAGCAGCTGTATGAATAATTGTTTAAGTCCTGTTAAATGTAATTTGACCACCGTGTTGTGAAAGAAATTATTTGCCCTGTAGTGTAGGTCGAAGAAAAGCTGTTGCAATCCTGCGTAAACGCGGAAAATACGAATTATGTATACGTTATAATTTTATAATAAAAGTTCGCACCCAAAGTCATTTAGAGGCCTGTAAGAGTTTGAAAAGTTGGTCAAAATGGAAAATGTTTTGTCAAAATAGTTGGTCACTTGTTGATTTTTCAAATTGGTTTACATTAGTAATAACAATTGTAGTACTGGAACTAGTATAATAGTGCTCAAAAGCGCAAAGAAAATGAAGTATTTTGACTCGTGCGAACTTGTAAGAAACCACCTCACAAGCATTCAGTTTTCCATCACGAATTTGATGTAGTCATGCAGCCCTTTTAAGAAATGGTGAAAATGTTCGCCAAAACTTGGTCAAAATATCAGGACAAACCTCCCCATTATAATGCCTTCGCGACGTCCCTGCAGCTAAACAAACTCTACATGCTTCAACTTTATTTCTTTAGATACGAAGTTCCAGAGAGACATAGCGATGATACGATTAATGTCCCTGTGTATTTACGAGAGAAAAAGTAAGTGCCGTTACATACTATAAGAGATTTCATAGACCAACTCCGGTAACAATGTCTTTTTCCATTGGATTAACATTACCAACAGCCAAATCCACTTAACAAAATGTCAAGGATCACTAGTAATTGTACTTTGCGTAATATATATACTTCACAGTCGACGAACCGTTCCTTTTCTTATATCTGGGGGAAGGGGGTGGAATTAAGTGTCCCTTCATCCCATATTTATCCCAGTGCCCCACCCCCCTAGAACCTCTTCCCTCTTACTAAAATCTTTCAACAGTATATGTAACCGTAAAAAAAGCTTGTTTTGTCGTGAAAACACTTTTTGACAATTTCCTGACTTTTTAAAACAGATAGATAAACAAGTCCTACTGTGGACAGGGGCGTAGGAACAGGGGTGCAGGCCCCCCAAGTTTTGCGAAGTGCCCTTTTTCCGGGAGTAAAGTGCCCTTTTCTTGCGTGAAAAATGTCATTAAGATTGCAATTTTTGCCCAAAGGCCACTTTTGAAAACTTGAATCTATGTTATTCCCGGAAAATTTTTTTCATTTACAGGAAAAATATCATCTATCCGGAAAATTTTTTGGTATATCCGGAAAATTTTTTTCATATTTAGGAAAAAATGTGGTGTATCCGGAATTTTTGATATGACCCCTCCCCGTCGCCAACATTTCCGGGAAAAAATTTTAGATGCCCTTTTTTATTCGAAAAGTGCCCCTCAAAGCCTGCCCCTCCCCCCCCCAACTTTTAGAAGCTTCCTACGCCCCTGTAGATATGTTGCCCACAATTTCTCTAGAATCAGAAATAAGTCTACAGCACCTTTATTTCTCTAATTATTCGTCTCTAATTAAATGCGTATGTGAACGTGTTTATACAGTAAATATCAGGATTTTGGGCATGTGCACTCGATATAACTAATTGTTGAATGGATTTGTAGATGGAAATTTCAAGTGTGAATTTTGTACAATTATTAGATCTAACCAGGAGGAGCAGTTGCAAAAAATACAACTATATCGGCCCTCTGGTAGGAATCAAACCTGCGACCCTGCGATTCCGGTGCAGTGCTCCAACCAACTGAGTTACAGAGGCCAGTTGTCGAGCTCTAACCACAAGTTCATGTTTGCTCCTGCTTAGGTCTAGTAAATGTATAAAATTCACAGTCTAAATTCCCATCTGCAGTACAAACCCTACAATGGTTTATATAATAACGTTAAGAATTCAAGCGCTTTCATTGGTCGAGAGCCATGATCTATTAGAGGATAGACGCACGGAATGGACCATTTGCATTATAGACTAAATTTTGATCTAGTCAAAAATTTCATTTCACAGCTTGAAAGGGCATCACAAAATTAGTAGTATTCCAAAGTTTCGTTGCGAAATGTTGTAAAATGCGGATAATATAGCCTTGCGAAGTTTGCCGTTTTTCAGTCATTTTGTATTACGCACGCGAAATTGACAGCCCAGTCGGGTGTTGGGGCATCAATTTCCCGTTTGTAATCTAAAATGACTGAAAATTGCAAATTTCGCAAGGCGGCTATTATCCGCATTTTACAACATTTCGTCACGAAACTTTGGAATATTACTAATTTTGTGATGCTCTTTCAAGTTGTGATGAAATTTTTGTCTAGACTTGTTTAGATCAAAATTTAGTCTATAATGCAAATGCCATTACGTCACACAAAATTCTTTGTTATGTGCAGCCAATCACAACACAGCACGTGACTAAAGGTAGTCAATAGCATTCCATTATTTGTATAGATCATGCACGCGTGATATTTGTAAATCTCGATTTTTTTTCAAATTTCCAAATGTTTGGGTAAATAAAAAGTAAGCTATATTTATATAAAACAAATAGATAAGATTTTGCCGTTGTCTGTGACTCTGTTCAGTTATATAGATACACAGTATGACGTCATAATGGGGGAAGAACAAAAAAGTGACCACGAGCCGCCGAGGCTATAACTGAACAGACAACGACAAAATCTTATCTATTTGTTAATTGTTTATCTGAGAATGTTCAACATCGGCTGAAATGGGTCTTAACAGCAAAAATGTTATCTTTCAGATATGGTGGTTATTCTACTACCTCGAACTTGTTTGGCACTCCGTTGTTTGTAAACGTCACTCCAGATTCAACGACGTATCAAGAACTGTATGACGCTGTGCTTCATAAAATGAGGTAATTATACTGATCATGTTGAATTGGTGATATGAATTCATTGCGGTATCTTATTATATAAAATAGTCGGGTAATATCTCAGCCTGAAAAATTCGAAAGTAGAATTTTTTAGTAAAGTTTCAAATTTATAGGACCCTACTCAAAATTTTGAGGAAATATTTATTTTGAGTAATGATTTACTTCATAAATTTGGGTAAGTTTGAGTCATTATGGGTGCATTGTTTTACTCAAGTTTTTGAGAAGAATTTTTTTGCAATGTAGAGTTTTAAATTTAAAACAAGACGCGATCCCAGGCGTTCACCGCTCTGGCCTCAAAATGCAACGTGTGCAAACAACAGCAAATTCGTCTCCTTTTCAGGATGGGTTATGTTTGTCATTTTCGAACATCCCCCCCCCCCCAATTTATTAAGTTCAATTTTCAAAATTTATGATGTTTTTTTTCCTTTTCGCCCGCCTGAAAATTCAAGCTTGTTGCTGCGCGATGAACAAAAGCATGCCTGTGACGTCACTGATTACAGTACATGATTACTTGTTTTCGTTACAACTACATCCCACAGCATCAGTCGGTGCCGGTGGTGGTTTAATTATTACCCTAGCCGTAGGACACCCCCCCCCCCCTTTTCTGTCTTTTAGGTTTATTTTTCCTCGTTTAGAATATTTTGAAAGACTTTTAGACAATTGTTTGTTTGAAACTCAGTTCTCGTCGTAGCTTCGAGGGCACAATAAAAATCCTGCCTCGTCAGCAGCCAATCACATTGCACGATTCGCCAAAACAAATGCTTGCCATATAATAAAAGAAAATACTACCCAGTAAGCAATTTTACTGGAAAAACCGATTTTGAAATTCTCCTAGAAGTAAGCAATTTTACTGGAAAAACCGATTTTGAAATTCTCTAGAATTTCAAAATCGGTTTTTCCAGTAAAATTGCTTACTGCATGGGTAGTATTTTCTTTTATTATATGGCAAGCATTTGTTTTGGTGGTGAATCGTGCAATTTGATTGGCTGCTGACGAGGCAGGATTTTTATTGTGCTCTACGAAGCTGCGAGAGAACTCAGTTTCAAACAAACAATTGACTTCTAAAAGTCTTTCAAAATATTCTAAACGAGGAAAAATAAACCTAAAAGACAGAAAAGGGAGGCCCTATCGGCTAGGGTATATAATAATTAAACCACCGCCGGCACCGACTGATGCTGTGGGATGTAGTTGTAACGAAAACAAGTAATCATGTACTGTCATTAATATTAACTACGATCATTGTTATAATAAGTACTATATTTAATTAATATAGTATTTGTAGTATATTATACACTTCATCCTATACAAACCTCGCCCACGGCTCTGACCTTGACATCTGTTTCACATCATCCGTGAAAAACAACTTTTATTGCGTGCATGTTGTACCAGTAAATCATGTTGTATCAGTTAGTGAAAATATAATTTCGATATTGCTTTATACAAATGTATATTATAAAGTCGAATACTATTTTCTCATGTCAGTCCCAAAAAAACAAAACACTGTTTGATTTAATATAGCAGAAAAACTAGAACAGTTATCATGATCAAATAATGTTTATTCCATCCAGAAAGGGCTATCTTAAATTTCGATATGATAGATTTTTATGCAGTATTAACTGTGATATATCAATGTTTTAAATCGACCAAAGCATTTTCGATAGTTTGTTAATGCGAAGGCCTCACTACCTGTCTTATGTTTCTTAGATGTTTCTCATTTGGTTGTGTTTTAATTCCCAAAGTTAAGTAATATCAACAAAATTGTAAAGACTCTGGCTTGCGAGGTTGCAACATTGTAAATTTATATGAGAAATAATTTGTAATTTTAGTTGGCTTCAATATAATCACGAGCAAATGGCAACTGTACTGAAATTAGTTTAATATAGGCCTTTTATATACATTTTTAACATTGTCCAAAATGCTTGTTCGATTTAAAACATTGATATCTCAGTTAATACTACATGAAAATCTTAAGTTAGCCCTTTCTGGGGGACACGATAAAATGTATTTTATCATGATTGCTGTTCTAGTTTCTCTGCTATAATATTAAATCAAACAGAGTATAGTTTGTTTTTTTTTTGGGGGGGGGAGACACCTGGTAGAAATGTTCACGACTGTTGCCTGATGTTTGGTTACCGTATTTACTCGTACGACGCTCTTTAAATTTTCAGAGCTTCAGATGCGGCGCTTAATCGGGGACGGCGCTCTTTAAAAAAATAAATTTAAATGTCTTTGTCACTAGCTAAATGTCCCCATGCATTTTGTCGGCGTAACGTTTTTACACTGTTTACAAGTTTACAAAATATCAATGTCACTGAAGATGTCACTGATCATGAAGAGGTCATGATCCGAGTCCAACTGCTGGATCGTAACCATTGTTGGATATGCCTCCTCGTCATCAGAAGACGTATAATTTCGTCGCATTGAAAGGGATTCGATTAAGCGCCGCATTTGAAAAAAATTAGTGCGACGCTCATTTGGAGGCGGCGCTCTTTAAAAAAAATTGATCTCAAATGCGGCGGTCATTCGGGGGCGGCGCTCAATCGAGTAAATACGGTATTTATGTGTGGACACTTTTGAGAGGCATTTTCTTCATTGTCGTGTATTTGCGATGAAAAGTGTTCACAACCTAAAAACGTTTTGGCGTTCCTCTCAAAATTACTTTGTTTTAGCTTTAATTTGTAGTTTACACAGTTCGCAACCTTTTTAAATGTATCTGGCGGTTGAGAAACACAAAACAGTAGTTAGGTATTGTCTTTTTAAATACAATTATCATCGATGCTGTAAAATGGACGCCATATTTATACGGCAATATAATAAGCAAAACTTAGTGAACTTCAGACATAATTTTCTCTTTGGCTTCTAAAATCTCTTAATTTTAGTAGAATTTTACAGATAAAGCATTAAACATACCTTCCAAGTTGGAAAACGTCGAGTTGAGAAGTATCAAAAAAATTTAAAAATTGACTGAAGTCCTAACCAAGTGAAAAAGTATAAAACATTCTCCTCTTAATTTATAATTATATGCATTGGAAATCATTTTTTTTTTCAAATTGCAGTTGCAATTTTGTTGCTCGTGTTACTCCACCTTTAAAAACGACGACAAATACATTTCTCCTGACCATTTAGCATATTTATTGAATGATTTTACACCATAATTTAATTAAAATTCTGTCCACCCAATTTTCTCGAATTAGTTAACGTGATTCTTCAGAGTAACTTATTTGATTTTTTAAATCGAGCACATCAGTGCATGCGTGGTAAAAGTTTGAAGGGATGGAATTTTTACACATTAGTTATATCGAGAGTGAGATTCCCAAAGTCCCATCATATTTACCCATACCCCGTACATTGGCATCACCTTAATATCTCTCTGGGCCGATAGTTGCATTAGATCTAACCAGGAGCAGTGGTGAAAAATGCAACTATCGGCCCTCTCGCAGGAATCGAACCTGCGGCCCTGCGATTCTGGTGCAGCGCTCTAACCAAGTGAGCTACAGAGAGACAGTTGTCGAGGTCTAACTACAAGTTCATGTATAAATACAGGCTTCGTACGGGTCCTGGAAAACCTGGAAAGTCATGGAATTTCAATATTAGTCGTGGAAAGTATCAATTTTAGTCCTGGAAAGTCATGGAAAATTGAAATTTTACATAACATTACGAAGTATTTTACTTAGTTCGATTTATCAGTCATAACAATAATATGAATTGCTGTTATATAACGGATTCTTGCAAGGGCGAAGTGAATTTTGTTCTTTTATTATATCTGTTATCGTTAAAATATTAACGAATTTCAGAAATTCCAGACTTCCAGGTCATGGATTTTGAAAAAAATGGTCATGGAAAAGTCATGGAATTTTAAATGGGAGAAGGTGTACGAACCCTGTAAATACTAAGGATTTTGGGAATCTCATTCGATATACAAATCCTTTCAACAATTAGTTTTTTCAAGTAAAAAGCCCAAAATCCTGCATGATGTTATTATTATTATGTTAAAAGTTTGCCTCTTTGCATGGAATCTTCGTCGTCATGCATGTAGCATTTGGTCGTCGTCGTCATGTTGATTGTAACTGCTCCGCTCTCTTTATGGAACGAGACGCTTGGAACGACCTTGTTTCGTCGAGAAAGGCGATTTCGAATTTTACGAAAATATCTTCTAAATATCGGGTAGTTTATGGAGTAAATGAAAGGATCAACGATGGCATTTAGCTCCATGACTACGGCCCACCAGATAAACGTGCGCATGAACTGGGTGGAAATATGACCCTCTCTGCTTCCATATGCACGTGCAACAACCACCAATGAAACTGTAGATCCAAGCAATGTTAAAGTGACGATAAGTACACGAATTGCTAAACGATACTCCTTCGTTGATGATCTAGCGTTTGAACCCAAGACTGTACCCTCTAGGCGTTTAATTTCTTTACTTTTCTCTCTTGCTTGTTTGAAGATATATATGTTCATCGCGCAGACGAATAGGATCAGCGTGCCATAATACACACGGAGTGCGAAATCCCTGTTTTGGCGTTCTCCCCAGCGCAAGTATTCGTTGAAAGCGCATAGAATAGACGCAATGATCCAGGGAACCAGAACTAAACCCTTTGCCTTACTTGTCGTCATCAAGGCAGGGTATCTTAGGGAATTGTACACGGATAGAAATCTATTGAAGGTTAATATGAAAAGACTGCCAGCGCTGGACAGCACTACAAAACGGAATAGGATCGCTAAGTGTTCAATGTTTTGACCATAAGTGTCAGTGGTATTCATAATGTGAACAAAAATGTTTATTACAACGCATGCGACAGCATCAGCAGTGGCTAAGCTAAGAACGAACCAGACGGAAGGGACATCGAGCATTACTCTGTTGTGTAAAATGACCAAGATAACTCCAAGGTTCTCCAGAAAGCCAAGAGTCCCGAGCAAACCATGGCATAACAGCATTGCAGTTACTTCAGCACTGGTAAAGGAATCACCGTCGCTCTCGTTGACAGCCGTAACATTTCTACCGTTCAAAGTGACATTCGAAGCCAACCATGTGTCATTGAACATTTTAAGGAAATATCAATACAGAGTATTAGGATTCGATATTTGCGTTATATCAACTAGCCTCTGCCTTGCATGCAGTAAAGCGCGAGAATGAGTCAAAACAGCTAGATGCCACAAAGTTGCAATTAAGACATATAATTAACTGCAGTATTGCGACAATTAGAACCTCCACAAACGAAATCAGTGCATTCTTCTTTTAATTAAGCGTTTTAAAGTGTGTGGGGGGGGGGGGCAAAACAAAGATTACGGCCCAATGTGGACTCCCCAGAGTAAGATTGAGGTCATTCAGGGTAAGGTTATGGCCACCAACTAGCCCCCCCCCCCCATGCCTTGAACGAAATACCATGCACCTGCTTTTTGCACAAACATTGCCTCAGGCTCGGTTTGACAAAAAGAAGTCGCCATAGCTCACACTCGGTTAATAATGCGGATTGCATTTATTTTTGATATACATTAAATATTCCCACACGTTTTATTGATTAAAAAAAATTAGAAAGTATCGATCTTTAATTTTCCGTCCGAAACTTTCACGTCCGTGTTTATAAGAGAGTGGATAAAAAAAGTAGACAATTTTGAAACGGCTCTCAATTTCATGTTCATGTCATGAAATTTTTGATAAATATAGATTGTTTGGGCGAAAATTGTTCGTAAGGATAAATTTTCCAGAGCAGGGGGTTCTTTTAAAGTTTAAAACGTATTTTGAGTTCATGGGCGAGAAATGTGTTATGTGTTTTATTAATGGTCCAAATATAAAAAATTTATTCTATTTTAAGTCCTTTAAATAGCAGCTGAAACATTAACTTTTTTGGCACCAATGCCTATATCACGCATGCTTAATTCATGCGTTTACCTAATTTGCATACTGTTATCGTAAAAAAAAGTAGAATAACAATATGCAAATATGGTATTATGCAAATTTATTTTCAAATTGTCAAAGATAGTACGGAAAGTTTAGTATTTCATTATTGTAGCTCTGGCATGAACTTGTGGTTAGAGCTCGACAACTGTCTCTCTGTATAGCTCATGCAGTTGGTTAGAGCGCTGCACCGGAATCGCAGGGTCGCAGGTTTGATTCCTGCCTAGCCCGGTAGGACCTGTAGTTGCATTTTACGCCACTGCTCCTGCATGGTTAGATGTAATAAATGTATAATAATAGATTATTCCAACTAAAGACTCAATTCTTATCTATAGGCAAGAAAAACAAAATCCATCACCACAGCTAGAAAGAGCATGTTAAAATGAGTAAAATTGCAAAGTTTGGTTGCGAAATGTTGTAAAATGCGGAAAATGTAGCCGTACGAAAGTCGCAAATTTTGTATTTGTATTACGCGGCACGGGAAAATGTACTACTTTCTGCCCAAATGTGGTGCATTTTCCCGCGCGTAATACAAATTAATACAAAATTTGCAAATTTTTTCAGGACTATATTTTCCGCATTTTACAACATTTCGCGGCCAAACTTTGCAATTTTACGAATTTTAGCATGCTCTTTCTAGCTGTGGTGGTGGATTTTGTTCTTCTTGCCGAGATCAAAACTTAGTCTATAGCTGGAATTATCCATTCACACTAGAAATTTCCATGTACAAAACCCTTCTATATATATATACATATTGGCAGTAGTATTGCCAATCACACGTCAACATGTATTTAACATTTGTTTAGTCGTTTTTGTAAAATAACTGTTTCAATAACCTGATCTGATGACGGGCAGTTTCAAAACGTTGTCAAAATAGTAAAATGATAAACGTTCTGTAATATCCTTGAAGAATTGTGAAAATTATTGGAAAAATTTTAAAAATTGGAGATCGATACTTTTTATATTTAAATTGTATTAAATTAATAAAATGGCTGCATGGCAATGTTTAAGGTCTACAGCGATCTGTTTTGTGAAGCCGAGCAATGTTTGTAGAAAAACATTCCCCATATACTTAACTATATTGTCGCTAATGACTATACACTTAATGAAATGTCTTGATTGCAATTATACCTTGCAAGTGCATGGCGTCCGACTTCATTAATGAATATTTAACAAATAAATAAGATTTTGCCGTTATAGTCACTTTTGTGTTCTTCCCAAAATATTATCTATTTGTTTTATATAATAAAAAGAAAACCCCCGAATTAAACAAGTAAATAGCTTACTTTTTATCCACCCAAACATTTGGAAATTTGAAAAAGTCGAAATTGTACAAATATCATGCGTACATGCATCCTCGTACCCAGCGTCTCAGCAGGTGGCCGTGCACCAGAGCACGAGAGAAAATAGCCTGGGTACGAGGCTGGCGTACATGATCTGTACAAATAAGGGAATGTTACTGGCTACCTTAATTGTGACGTAATTCCGTGCGTCTGTCCTCTAATAGATCATGGCTCTCGACCAATGAAAGCGCTTGAATTACGTTATATAAATATTATATACAATTTTTAGGTAAATTATCTATCAAACATAACACATTTTACCATAAGATGATGGTGTACTTATTGTGTATGAAAATCTCTGAAACAGTTTTTTGCTTTGTTCAGACATAAATAAACTTTGTGTTTATCACAACAGATTCGACTATAGCCAGTTTTGCAAAACCGCCACCGGCCCCTTTGCTCTTTGTGCTGTGGCCAATGATGAAGACTATCAAGGCGTACATCTTTGCTCGGCAATGGTGCTTCGTCTTCTGGGGACGCTTCATCTTCTACATCTTGAGCTAACGACGGTCTTCCACGAGGTCTTTTTGAGGTTTTTCCAGCTCACGAGAAGACCCTCATAGATCTCTTGGCAGCTTTCAGCTGATCGCATTAATGTCGTAGATAAGCGTTGACTTTAGCGATATCAATGCAGTGAAAGATGACCATCAGGTACCATCTTCGGGATTGATCTTGGTGCGATAGAGTGAGATAAGCATGTGGGACAAGTCAACTCCACCCATTGACTCATTGTACTGTCACACTATGTCAGGACAGGGACATCGACATGTTTCTTTGCTTTGCCACCCCATCTCTTTATTGTGCTAGATGCCTTCACACCAGATTAGGTTAACAGCACCTGAATGCATCTGTTGTCAAGCCATCTAATCAGATGCAGACCAGTGGTCCTATCAGTGCGGTAATCCAAACTTCCTCTACCTGCTTTCTTCAACTCCTTCTCTGACATCAAGGGGCAGCCACCAATCCAGTTCTTGCGTACTGTTTGCTGTTTAACAAATAGATAAGATTTTGCCGTCGTCTGTTTAGTTATAGATACACAGTATGACGTCATAATGTGGGAAGAACAAAAATGTGCGTCTAAAATTGTTAAAAATATCACATTTGAAAAAAGTGTGATGATAGTAGTTTTGACAACGAAATTAAGGGATCACATGACATCTTGACTATTTTATGGTCAAATTGACGAGCAGATGCCGGGAAACCGATCGAGTGCATGGATATTATGCTGAGCTAGATGAGAATTTAAAAATTAATCAATATAAGAAATGGCTATAAAAACTTTTCTTCAATCATATTAGTATAGGTAATAGGATGGTTTCAAGTGCAATTTGGATAAAACATGCACGAGTGAGTTTTTCAAGGAGCATCTTTTTAGCACGAATCCGAAGGACGAGTGCTATTTGGGGTCTTTGATTTTCAAATGAGTGCGTGCATGTTTTATCCAAATTTCACGAGAAACCTATTACGTATTAATACATAAAAATGTCCGAGACAATTGTAGTTTTAACTTACGTTTATAGCGAATCGTCCACTGACAAATTTTCCTGCTTTGTTATATCACATTATTCAACGGCTTGAAAATTTCACTCAACTATGTAAGTTTTGTTTAGCCTTGTTTAATGTAGCGCGGCCGCCATGTTTCTTTTGTTTTGAAGCAATCTGCGACCGTTACTTGACGACTGCTTTAAACTGATTGGTTGATTTTAGATCCCATTGTTTTTTTCAACCAATCAGATCAGTTTGCTACAGATTTTTGCACTGTTGTTACAGATTTTCGCTCTGTTGTTACAGAATTTTGCACTCCTGTTTGAGATTAATTGCACTGAAATCAACCAGTCACAGTCGAGTAATATTTTTATTTATATTATTATAAAAGAAATAGAAAACAGTTTGGGAGAACTCGAAATAACGTCTCGTTCTCGCAAATTTCTTAAGAAAAATTTTCGCACCCTGTGGCGAGAGTTTGTATCTGAATTTTCTCAACTGTCGTGAGTAGCATGAGAGTTGTCTAGATATATTACCACGCGTAGGAAGAACTCTTATCAACTACCATCGAAATTCGAGCCAGCTCAATGTTGATGAGAGAATCGAGAATTGCGACTCTCGTTGTCTGTTATCTCATGAACCCTCATGAACTTATTTGACCATGGCTTTAAGGTAACGCTGATACAAAAATACCAGCATGAGCTCGACCTTTGAATTTACTATATGAGTAAATTGTTAAACACGTCTGAAATTATCAGTACAATACATTCGCGCAATAACTTATTGGGATAGACGAACCTTACCCTAATCTAACCCCAACTCTAACCCCTAACCCTAATATAATCTTAATCTAATCCAATCTTAATCTGACACTAATCTAAACTTGACGACCTTTTTTTATTAATTCTTTTTCAGTTTGTTGCAGGTGCTTTTATATCCTTAATATAAGAACTCACAACTGAACATTTTGAACAGGGTTAACATGCACATTTCCTTGCTTTTATATCCAATGATGTTTCTTTATTCTTACTATTTAGGCGATACGTCACGGTTTTTCAGCAGAATGGGAACCCAGAAGCGCAGGACGCTAAGAAGTCAGGTAAGCTGGATATAGGTTCAGAGATATAATGTGCATGCAAGCATCCATGTGATTGCCATGGCCACCAAACATTAATGACACTGGAATTATGCTGGGCCCGGCACAGGGAGCCCATCCCTGGTCTTATTGAAGTTATGTATTAGAATTACGTATGAAATATATAGCTCAGTGTTGAAGCCTGCGATTTGCGGGCTGTGTGCGGGCTAACGCGCGCGTTGAATACACAATCGAGTGCCTGGAAGGCCAGAATTCAAAGCACAACATCCGTGTGTTTAAATTAAAAGGTCAGAGTTTTATTATGTTGTAAGGTCCACTAGGGCCCGTTCTTTCATATCGTCTTGCCAAAACCTTCCAAATAGTTGCTAACGAGGAGAAATTGTTCGATTGATCGCACGGCAGTGTACGGTTGGATGTGTCGGGATGTGTTCCACAGGTTGCTATGACATGCTGAAATGCTTACTTATTTCCCATTACACACTCCGCAGATCTCTAAAACCATATGAAAAATGTTAAATAGTATTGTAGCTGTTGGCATATTCGAATATAAAACACATATAAAATTTTAAACACATGTAAAACAAAATTTTAAAATCAGTGATCGGCCGGCCGTGAAAATTTCAAAAAATATATTAATTAACTTACCAGTAAACCGCAATATTTTTCGGAATTTGCAAATTAGTTGCAGATGACAAGTTTGTAATCAGAAAGGTAATTTCTGAAAGAAGTTCTTTTGTTGAAATTTATAGAAACTTAAGTCGATAATTTGTCAATGTCATAGCAACTTATGGAACACATGCTTCCAGGCACTCGTCGATGTTTCATCCCTTTAATATTTTCTTTATTGTGTATTCAACGCACGCGTTAGCCCGCACACAGCCCGAAAATCGCATGCTTCAACACTGAGCTATATATTTCAAACGTAATTCTAATACATAACTTCAATAAGACCCGGGATGGGCTCTAAGACCCGGGATGGGCTCCCTGTGGGCCCGGCTGTACGAAAGCCGGATAGCGCTATCCACCGGTTACTGATTTTTTCAAACTTGATAAAACTACAGATATATGGACCTCTTAATGAAATAAGAAACAATTCACAATTGAATTACCCCTCACCCAACTGAATTGAAACAATTTTTCTAAAGTAGTAAATTGTACTATTCATAGATGTTCCAGTATAGTAGTATACCGCGGACTGAGAGTACTGGTTAAAATACGAGCGTTTGATTTCTGCTGGCAATATTGAACCTTGTTGAAGGTTTTTGGAGATGAAATTTCAAACGAAAACTATGTTCGGGAGGAATGTTCAAAATTTTGGAATATTTACTTTTTGTTATAGCCTATGAGACTTTATAATATAAGTGGGATATATCACGTAATTTGATTGGCTAATGCGCTTGCATTATTAACTTCTTATTAACCGAACGCGAGGTCTGTACCGAGAAATATCGGACCGAGGTCTTTTTTGTACAGATTTGAAATGCATATTAGTAGCGTGGTACACATTTGGTCGAAGAAAACAAAAAATACCAATGTAATTCCTTCTTTTCCACTAAAAACCATTCGCAGATATCGTATTAATAACAAATTAAATTATAATTTTCAATTAGTTTTGCTGTTTTCTTTTAAAATGCATGTGTTTGTTTTTACGTAATGGACCGCCGGTGTCCCAGGGATTTCGCCCCCCCCCCTCCCTATACAATTTCGCCCCCCAGGGGCGAAATTCCTAGTAATATCGCCCTCCCGAGGGGCGAAAGTCCTAGGAAAAATTCGCCCCCTTTAAGAAATTCGCCCCCTTTAGAAACTTCACCTTTCCTTTAGGATTTTCGTCCTCTGTTAAAAATTTCGCCCTTCCTAACAGTTGCATGGGATAATTATTACATAGCTTTAGTCATTTGAAATCAGTATCTGATACCATGGATTGTAAAATAACTGGATAGGAAACTTCCTGAAGTCACAGTCTAAACCTAGTTGCAATCTGTGACGTCACGCGTATTGCCAAAGTTCTCAGCATTTTTGTTGTTTCGCTATATTTTCCGTTTTAAAAGAGTAATATTGAAGCATAAACTGGTCTAATTGTTTTAAAAACATGCCTAAGCCACGACAAAGTATTAAAGGTAAATGTTTTTCGTCTTAGTTTTGTATTTTTTTACATTTGTAGCTACGAAGTTGGCGACGCCAATTTTAACGAAATTTGCGATGCATTTTTCACTGTTTAGTGGTTGAAATATTCACTAAAATTGACTGGGAATACTTAGAGATTTCATCGTAGAATGGCCTAGTTATATTTATTTGCTCTTTGACTAAAATGTTTAGCTTTATTATTGCTAAACATGCCATTTTTGAGAATTTGGTTCGCAACTAGGTTTCAACGCCATCAGTCCATTGAAAACATTAGGTCACGTCAGCTAGTTTCCTATCCATGTATTTTATTATCCATGATGATACTGATGAATAGTGCAAGGATATCCGGAGCTGCATGAGCAACCAGTCAAACGACCAAAATATCCATCTCCCGAGTATATGCTAGTTATTGTTAATTTTCATTAAAGTAAGCTTTATAGCTTTTTGGGATATTTACGATGGACAGGTGAACATGTGACCCATATAAATGGGGCGTTTGATTAAGTCTTCATCTCATCAACTACTCAGTTTGCTAACCGATGACAAAAATATGAATATATTTGTCTTATTTAAAGATGATGAAGTTGAAAACAACGACACACAGGAGGAAAAGCTTGAAGATATGAATGATATTTCTCTGGTATGTTTGTTTAAATTTCATTGTGAATCATTTATGCATGTGCAACTGATTCAAGTCTGCCTTAATTGTTAAGTGTTAACTATATATGAGAGCTACTGAAACTTGTTCTTGCGCCGAAACTTGCTCTAAAAGACCGCATATATAGCACGAAGAATTCTATGGCCAAGGCAATGTGCCAATTTATTGCTTTTTATGTTTATTCTCCATTTTGTCCTCATTTTCCACCGTTTGGAGAGGTTTAGTTTTTCTTTGAGAAACACTCTTCGGGTGTGCTCGAAGAAGCTTGTTTTACAGTACCTTGCCTTACCTCAGTAGTTGGTTACTGCTTACTAGAACGTGTGCTATCCAAAGGTGGAATGCTATATCTGTGGGATGCTATGCATGTTGTATACCAGTATCCTATCAGATAGTACTGAAAATGTTAAATTTTAACCCCTGTATATAGTAAAGGGTACCTAATCTTTTCTTAAAAAAATATATTTTCGGACAAGCAAAGCTACACTGTAATGAGCTGGTGCTACAAACATTTCATTTGGTCAACGGTTTTATAATTTCGGATTTTCGTGTTGGAAGAATGTTAGGAACTTTGGGTGCTTCGTCAGAAAATGGTGGGATAATATCGGCAACAAAAATGCCAATACCAATATTTTGAATTTAAAGCCGATGCCGATATATGGATATCGGTATGCACCGATTGCAAGTCTGATGCACTATAGAAATTCTTCTTGGTATTGTTCACGTCTTTGATGGATATTTCATGCTTTCTGTATAGGATGACAGCAACGAAGGCAAATCAAGCGAGAAGGCTGTTCCTACATTATTTACAATGTGTACTGTGAATAGTTATGGAAGTTCTGATATTGATAGTCTGAAGGACGATGGAAAGGCTCTTAGAATTTCAGGTATATACGTTTATTGTTTTTTTTGTGAAGATGTTTGCGGACATATATGTGAGGTACGTTTACATGTTGCGATTTGTCGTCTGCCATTCGTATTCTGGCGTATGTAATCGAATAAGCGCGCGTAAAGTGGTTGCATTTTAAATCTTGCCATAAACTAAATGTAGTGAACTCAATTTATTTTACTTTACCTGGAACGATATACTCAGTCATTTGGCAGTTAAAAAGTGAAGCCTCGCCTGAAGTCAGCAGTAATTTTCATACGCCAGTATACGAATCGTACACGACGAATCACAGCGTGTAAACGTTCTTTATAATAGTTACCAAACTCTTGCTTCGAACAGAATTGTTTTCGAAAATACCGTCATTATTTAAAATCTGCACTAAATGACGTTAAAAAATTAATTAAAGTTATTTTTTTATATTCGTGGTTCATAGTGTAATAACAATAATTTGCTTTTAGGACGAAGTTACGTCGCAGTTGATTGGTATCCGAAAATGAGAGCGAAATATTACGATCAGTCTAAAGCTGAGGTATAACCCATCGTTGTGTTGTGTTCATAGATATCTTGTTGTGTTACACTGTTGTGTTACACTGTTGTGTTGTGTTACACTGTTGTGTTGTGTTACACTGTTGTTTTGTGTTACACTGTTGTGTTGTGTTACACTATTGTGTTGTGTTACACTGTTGTGTTGTGTTATACTGTTGTGTTGTGTTACACTGTTGTATTGTGTTACACTGTTGTGTTGTGTTGTGTTACACTGTTGTGTTAAACTGTTGTGTTACACTGTTGTGTTACACTGTTGTGTTACACTGTTGTGTTGTGTTACACTGTTGTGTTAAACTGTTGTGTTACACTGTTGTGTTACACTGTTGTGTTACACTGTTGTGTTACACTGTTGTGTTACACTGTTGTGTTGTGTTACACTGTTGTGTTGTGTTGTGTTACACCGTTGTGTTGTATTACACTGTTGTGTTGTGTTACATTGTTGTGTTACATTGTTGTGTTGTGTTACACTGTTGTGTTGTATTACAATGTTGTGTTGTGTTACACTGTTGTTACATTGCATTGTATTGTATAATTCATTGTATATACTTAATGTCGTCCTGTGCTCTTCAATTTCTTTTGTTTTTAGGAAACAAAACAACATGAGAGTGTTGATCGCAAAGTAGCAGAGAGAAAAACGATAACACTATATGACTGCATAAATCTATTTTTAAATAAAGAGAAACTTAGTGCCGATGATCCTTGGTAAGTGGAATGAACATGTTTATTCATTGTAAGGTTTATACTGCCCACCTGTGGATGTGCATTTTTTTGAGAGAAAACATTTTGTGCTTGAAAATTCGGAATTGTTTCCTCATGTTTTTTACACTTACCTTCCCTGGACGACCTTATATAGAAGCCCTCCACTTGGCTGGATGCCCAAAGTTAGATGAAAGACGTGAAGACCTTTGCGCAAAGACTTTATCTAAAATTACTAATAGTTGTCCCCTCTCTCAACATGTGACCCAAACCAGAGCATCCGCCTACGACTACTTGATTAGAAGTTCGAACAATGGATGATTCCTGCTATGGACTAAATTTTGATGTAGGCAAGAAGAACACAATCTATCACCACAGCTAGAAAGAGCATTCAAATTAGTAAAATTGCAAAGTTTGGTTGGAAAATGTTGTAAAATACGGAAAATATAGCCCTACGAAATTTGCAAATTTTGTATTAATTTGTATTACGCGCGGGAAAATGTACCACATTTGGGCCGAAAGCGGTGCATTTTCCCGTGCGTAATACAAATTAATACAAAATTTGCAAATTTCACAGGGCTATATTTTACAACATTTTCCAACCAAACTTTGCAATTTTACTAATTTTAACATGCTTTTTCTAACTGTGGTGATGGATTTTGTTCTTCTTGCCTAGATCAAAATTTAGTCTATAGCTGAAATCACCCATTGGATAATGTATAAGCGCAGGACCGTTTTAAGAATAGTTTTTTTTTCCCGAAAACAATCTGTATAGCTAATGCAAGGAACTTAACTGATATTCTTTTCATATCAGATTTTATTGTAATACTTATACTATAGTCACATGTAGTTTTTAACTTTCACAATAGTTTTAGATTTAGAATAATTGTATAGTTTTCTTGTAATATTTTAATAAGTTCTATTCCTATAAACACATGTAATTCATTTTTGATTGCGATAATGTGTATTAGCATCATCATCATCATATATTTTTCAATTGTCTAAGTTGTTTATTACAACCATTAACCTTCTTTAGGTATTGCCCATCTTGTAAAGAGCACCGACAAGCCACAAAAAAATTCGATTTGTGGTCTCTACCTAAAATGCTAATCATTCATCTTAAGAGATTCTCTTACAACAGGTTTGTATGCATTGCTATACTCTAACTACTTAGCGAGCGGTCATTGTCTATACGTAAAGTTGGAGCCGAAGATAAACGAAAAATGGTGTAACATTTTTTACCCAAATTCAGGATGCATGGTTATTATACTCAAATGTAACTACACTGTCTTGTACACTATATATCAAACCTGCAAATAATTATTTACTTGGAAGGACAAATGTCCGGTCTGTACAAAAATTGGTCGGACATTTATCAACTTTTCTTAAACAATGGACAAGTACAATTTTTCAATCTTTCTTGAAAATTAGCACGGTGTATTTCGGCTGGTCATGTTAGTCCGCACTTCATTGCATCTAAAACTGATTGTAGAGGGTGTCCAATAAAAATGCCCCCACTATGTTTTGTGGTATTGCAACGTTAGCTTTGACAGAAGTTTCTGATTTTTATACTAGATAAAATGATTATCCTATTATGCTTGTGATGTTACTCTGAGTGTATATCCACACCGGGCAAGCTTGAAAAACATACCTGGCCACGGTGGGAATCGAACCCACGACCCCCGGAACACCAGCCCAACGCTCCGCCAACCGAGCCACGCGGTCAGGCCGGCTCGAGCATGCGACACTTCGGAACAGAATCCAGCTCCCTCTGCATCAATGTAATCTAGCAATCATGATTTCTTCTGTGTTGGTGTAATGTACTCAGGCGAATATGATGCTTGTGATGTTACTCTGAGTGTATATCCACACCGGGCAGGCTTGAAAAACATGCCTGGCCATGCCTCATGATTACTAGATTACATTGTTGTCGAGGGAGCTGGATTCTGTTCCGAAGTGTCGCATGCTCGAGCCGGCCTGACCGCGTGGCTCGGTTGGCGGAGCGTTGGGCTGGTGTTCAGGGTTCTCCTTATCAGGCGGTAACCGGTAAAATTTACCGTTTCCACGAGCACTGATTACCGCCTGGAGAAGCCCAAGTTAAATATATGTTTGTGTACATTTGTTAAGAAATAATTAGTAATAAGGTGTGAGAAAATCCTTTATATAATAACTACAGTGAAACACGCAATTTTATTGGTCAATAGTCGTGCAGGATCAGGCTATCCTGCACGAGGAATTATAATGCCTTCGCGGGATTTTCAAAATGTCATAGTTTCACTGCAGTTATTTTATAAAACAATTACCAAATGGTTTTCCAAGCAGGATAGCGTGATCCATGCACTTGGGATGTTGCTCGACTTTCGGAAAAGTGTGAAAATACACTCGCCTGCAGCTCGAGCATTTTTACGCTTTCCGAAAGTCTCGCGACATCCCTCGTGCATGGATCACGCAATCCTGCACGGAAAACCATTCGGTATTCCTTTAATAATCAATCAATCAAGTATTGCTGAAATTCCACAATATTAATTATTTAGCATCGATAGATTGAATACAGAAATATCCTATAAACCCGATCTGCGAACAAAATTTTTTGGCGGAATGATTATATTATCAACCCAGCGTGGGCCTGGGGACTGAGTAATTAAATTGGCGTGTGTTTAGAATATAATCTTTAGTATTCTATAAAAGTTTAAATCTTTCCTCAAAATGCAGGAAATGCCATTTCAGATTTCAAAATTCTCCGTTGGTATACCCCAGACCCCCTAGAGGTTTGTATAGGTGCGACTTGATGCTTATACCTGTTGAAAAACCTGTTTTACCTGTCCCACTCACAACTATGGAGAACCCTGGGTGTTCCGGGGGTCGTGGGTCCGATTCCCACCGTGGACAGGCATGTTTTTCAAGCCTGCCCGGTGTGGATATACACTCTGAGTAACATCACAAGCATCATATTCGCCTGAGTACATTACACCAACACAGAAGAAATCATGATTATCCTATTGTTTTAAGCTATTGATAATTGAATTATGAAAATAACCAACTATTTGCCTTCTAGATTCACTTAATTAAGGTGGCGACACCAACATTTCAACTTGTGCGAATTATAGAAATTAGACTTTCAAAAGGGGATGTTTAAAGAGAATTCCTACCTCTTAAAAACCTGGTTTGTGGTTCCTAACATTAAATATTTCGTTTGATATAAAAATGATTTAGAATGAGCCTGAAGCTTAGGCAGAAAAATGAAAATATCCGATTATTGACACTAATTTTCAGGCCTGGTATATAGTAAATGTCCCAGACCTAGAAGAAGATTTCTCAGATCCGATTTGCCATTTTCAAATATTCCTCAAAAGTGCGTAAAAACAATGAAAAATCTGACCATACATTACGCCAAATTTGAACATCGAAAAGCACTTCACAATCTCAAGTGACAGATAAGGGATGATAACATAATGATTCCATACGATTCTCCTATAATGTATGTGTGAAAAATTGAAAATATTCCGCATGAAAATGTTGCCTTGCTATGGCAAATGTTCCTTAGGATCCCGAGCTCGCTCTTTTTCCTGGAGGTAAATTGTTCTGTCGGCTGAAAGTCCTGTTGGCAAAATCTCCACTCAGAAGCTCGTGGGTTCGATTCTCGCTACGGACTCATGTGAAAACAGTCAGTCAAGGCTCTACCGAAAGTCGTGGGTTTTCTCCAGGTGCTCTAGTATTGCATCACTTTCATTGAAAATCCATTTTCCAGCCATATTTGTATAAAATAAGTATAAAACAACAATTTCTGAAGAAATGCAATCCTGTATTTAAAAAGTGTATAAAAGTTTTATAAACCGTAAAAAATGTTGTTAATGTTCAATCGATTGTTTTTCAGATTTTGGAGGGACAAGTTGGACATCAAGGTTGATTTTCCGTTGACGTACGTATTCTGTTGTGATTTTCTACTTGCTTAATATTTATACAATTATTTTTGAGGTTATAGCTGTTTTCCTGGGTAGAACCAGTTCGACAATAGAAGGAGAAAATTGCAACTAAATCGCAGCAAACATCGCCCGTGTTAACGGGCCTTAACACAACCTAACAAAAAATGACCAAAGAAACAACGAAAATATTTTTAGAACAATTTGTATTACAACTTACCATAATAGTTGTAAGCAAAACAGTATTTATTCATAGCTTTTATTAATCTTATTGATTAGAAATAGCTTTGAAGAATACATCCACTTTGTGGCTTTCTTCGTGCTTGGGAAAATCGCAGCTTCGTTTCGTACAAAAATTTGCTGGTCTGTAACCGGAATGAAACGGGAGGCCATTTTGTTTTTCTCCAGTGGTGAATAGTGCAAGGATATCCGGAGCTGAGCAACCAATCAAATTGCGCGAAAAGAACTATCCACCTCTGGAGTATATGCTAATTACTTTTAAATCAAACTTCGCTAAATATATATTAAGCCACTGCGTTTGCTATTCTAAGATATGATTTTACACCGCTAAACAAAAATGCAATAGTAGATTTTTTACATGCTTTTCGTCGGCTTATTCAACCCGTTTTCACACAACGCCAGAACGTACGAACTGACGCTGTTCTCCCTTGTTGCCAAAGTTAGAGCGTTTTCCTGTTCGGCGTTGGCTTTCCCATTTCGCGTCATGTAATCGTACGGTCTATATTTTACTCACCGTTGACATGCGAACATCATTCTTGTGACGTCATTTTGTGACATGTTTCTTCCATCATCCTCAAAACTGGAATGCCAGCTTGTTCATTCATCTTAAATCCTGTTCTCTTTGCAGTAATTTCGACATGTCAAAATATGTGATGAATGAAGGACATCCACCTGCAATTTATGACTTGCATGCAGTTTCGGTGAGTAATGATACTATGCTTATTACTTGGCGTGTGGAGATGACATCTAGATTTTTAGTCGTACCAGACTAGTCCTCCAACGATTTTTGTTTCGTCAGTTATGTTTAAACAGTTGTATTTTTATATTTTCCTTTAGAATCATTTTGGAGGCCTTGGTGGAGGACATTGTAAGTTTTACAGTGGGATTCCTGATTTCGTGGGGAGGGGGTGGTTGCACCCACCGCAGTTACTACTTAAAAATTTCCATCAATTTTTTTCGTTTAACTATAATTAAAATCAGAATAGATAACGATTTAAATTCCCAGAGGCCTAGGTCATATTTGTAAGGGTACGAGGAAGTACAATTGTTCATTATTGATGCAGTTCAGTAAAAAGATGAGTAGAATTTGCATCTAGACAGTGTTTAAAAATAGGTACGCTAAGCGTAAGTGTATCTGCGCCAAGATACTCTTTTATAATTATAATAGTAGATGGCTTTTTGTAATGCATATTTTAGACCTAAACAGGAGCAGTTGCAAAAATGGAACTATAGACCTGCGCTCCTGTGATTCCGGTGCAGCGCTATAACCAACTGAGCTACAGTGTTGTTGCCTGTAGTTTTTGTTGTAATTGGACAGCTGTTTCTGTAAGTTGTTAATGTTGTTGTTCTTGGAGTTGCAGTAACCGTTGGTGGTGGTAGTTTTACTCAATGGTGGTCTTGGCGGTCTCAGAGAGGGAATGACCAGGAGGTGGCTAAGTGGACACCCCCCTTGGTGAATTAGGCGGAAATATTGGTCACAAAGTCGTTGTCGTTCACACGTTTCTATAAAAAACTTACAACTCGCTGATTTTCAAAGATTTATTGTTGACAAATATGACTCCCCAAGCACATGCGTTATATCTTGAAATCTAGGCGGACAACCTAATCTATTACAAACAGCTAGTTTTCATTGCCAGCCAACAAATTCGGGAAGTTTCTGTTGTAAACTTTTTTATTTCTATTTTCAGACACAGCATTTTGCAAAAACCCTAATAAGGATCAATGGTATAACTTCGACGACAGTAGTGTATCATCTATGGTAGAAGACAGAGTAGTTGTAAGTACCTGACGCGCATGTAGTTATAAGATGGCGAAGTATTAGTGGTTTGCAATCAATCCTTTGAGATTTACGAGACAAAGACATGGCGGCCATCTTGGAGGAAAACACGCTCCAAATACAATAGCTGCTAGTGTTATTCTTTTGTTAGCGTAACTCCAACATGGCCGACGTGACTTCAAGTGCAAACCAAAAATGCTGTTTCACTTTTTATCGATTAGTAGGTTTCAAGGAATTTCCAAACTTTTTTTTAGGTATTTCTATAAAATTTCTATAAAACTTTCACAGTATGGAAGCGTTTCAAATTTCAGAAGTATGACCACATTTGCTACCTCTAGGGAATGTATTAAAGACCATGTAAAGTCCGTTCTGCGCATACGTTCTGCGCAGGCTTACATTCCAATGGTCGGTACCCGACCGTTGGAATGTTATTAATATTTCGTATCTTTTGAACTTTCTTGAATTGAATCTCTAGTCTGTATTCATTTACAAGCATGGCGAACGAGAAGAGTGTTAAAAATTCAGTATAATATATATCTAATCATATTTTACAACTGTAGCACTGAGTTCAAAATGTAAACAAAGCGTTTGTTTACATTACGGACTTTACATGGTCTTTAAACATAAAAGTCATCTGTTATCCATTACGGCACTTACAATATTTACAAGCGTAGCAGAATGTTAGTACCATGATTATATTCAAAAGAAAACAATGTTAAGTACTAGTTTTAAAAACATGAGCAGCCGATCTTTATCTCATATACAAACTCGAGCCGAAGACGAGGCAAATTTCGAAACCGTCGACGGTCCAGCACATCATTGATGGTCGAACACATCATTAATTTCGTTCAGAAATGTTATGTGAACAGATAATTTACGTTGTGTTTAAAGGACGAAAAAACTGGCTTATATTGTGTATAAACGACTGCTGCAACTTGATCACTTGTGAGGTAAACAATGCGAAAATTGAAAGAAAAATACCTAAATGATCCTATTATAATCGCAATGAATGCGTATACTATTATTATCGTTATTTTCTTATGACAAACTTATAACCTCCAAAGGCCGAGTTTAAGATGCGATAATCTCGATCAAAATAGCTTGATAACATGCTCCGTGCGTCAAAATTTTATACTCGGGTAACGTAACCGTGTTTTTAACATACGATAACGAAAAAACTGTACGAATTTTAAGCCAAATTATATAACGGCACAATTGGAGACCTGCTCGCCAGTAACACGATATATATTTTATTACTAAAGAGTCTCGCATGTTTTTCTTGCTCAATATATAATTTATCATATTTCAATTTTAGCTTTAGCCCTGGACTGGAATTATGCAATCTTGTAAAATTGTAAGGTTTATAGATATATTATATACACATTACATTATGTCAAAGCTCTGAAACTATAAATATTATTTAATGTTTTTGCAAATGTTGGCATTTTCCCACGTGTTCTGTTGTATCTCGGAGATGGTTGTCTATATTTTACTTCACAAGAATTTATTGAATTGTTGAATTTTAAGATATTTCAAAGTAATTTACTGGTTATAAATCAATAGACGAGGAGACAGCTTTGCTGAACGAAACACAAGAAGAAAGTTTAAATCCATACAGTCTTGAACGACTTTTTATCTGAATTGATTTTCAACTTTCTCATGCCATATAAGAAAACCTAAAACCAACTCAGAAAGAGAGTTTATAATAATAGTAATTGATTATTTATCCATCTTTAGTGCAAAAATACAATGGATTTACAGTTAGTAAAATCTAAGTAGTAATCTAGGAGTTATATGTACAGATAAAAAATTTAGGAATAGCTATAAAAATATTGTCTATATTAGCGAATTTGTTCTGGGAATAAACGATAGTTCATGCCTTTTAGTATATGAGAAGAATTGTGGAAGAGTTTTTGGTGTTCTTAGGTCATACGTGTTCGTCACTATGTCAGGTTATATATATTTCCTGCATGGGTGCGTTTCATCATTAATGATTTTCTTGTATTCGCGAATGGCAAGATTTTCCCGACGGTGCTCTAGAGACTGAAGTGAATCAGAAGGTAACCCAAGAATTTTCAGACTTCTAGTATGGATACTCTCCAGCTCGTCTGTAAGGTATTGTGGCAGACCACCCCATATCTGTGTATTCCAGAACCGGTCTTAATTTGGTTTCATAGCATGTTAAACCCACTTTGGTCGGTAGATTTTCTCGACGACATTCCCGTAGGTAAAATAAGCGTTTATTTGCTTTCTTTGTAGTTTCTTCAATGTGGGTGTTCCATTTAAGGATATTATTAATCCAAAGACCTAGCAGCTTGAACGAGTTCACACTTTCAATCGTATCATTGCCAATCATAAGTGATGGTGGTTCCCAAATTGCATCTTTAAAGCAGATCCACATGTCTTTCGTCTTTTTCGCGTTAAGTTTCATCTTGTTTCTAAGTGCCCAGTCGTTCATTGCATCAAGTACCTCTTGTATGTTACTAGTAGAACCGTATGGAATCACTTCATCTTAAGTGCAGTCATCGGCGTATTGATGTACAAATAGTTGGGAATGCAGTCTTCGAGGTCATCTACATGAGCATTAAACAATGTTGGTGATATAACAGACCCCTGGAGGACTCCGGAAGGGCAAGGCCTTATAGATAACAGAGCACCTCCTAATTTTACTTGCTGATTCCTCCCTTCTAGAAAGCTCCGTGTCCATAGCCAGAAGCTTTTCGACACGTTCATTTTGGCGAGCTTTCTTAAAAGCAATCCGTGGTCCTCCAGATCAAATGCTTTGCAAAAGTCGATAAATAAAATGTGGATACGCATTCTTCCATCACGCGAGTTTCATTTACTACGAAAAGATTCGAGGAAGCGTAAATGGAAGCGCGCAAAAGAGAAACAATGCTTTCTGTAATGAAACATTAAGTATTACAGATGAATCTTCGCCATGGGAATAATTGATTCCGCGGCGAAGATTCTATCTATATACTTAAATGTATTAATCCAAATCCTGGACGGGATTCTGAGGTTGTTTCTCGTTACGGAAAATACTGTACAGGTTACCCGCCATTCAAGAAATCTGATCCTCGGCGAGAATGTCTCTTCAATGGCAGGTTAGCTGTTCAGCTTTTTCAAAAGCGACAAACTCCTCGTGTATCTCAGTGGCGGAGTTTTGAAGCCGATGTTAAATACAAAGAAGCACTTTTTCCTCCAACTGTCGTTAATGGCAAACCACCAGAGATCGTGCAAGAGGCAACACTATTGGATGTTACTTCTTAGATCCGACTTAAAATGGAACACACACGTACATAATATTATATCAAAATGCTCCAAGCGATTATATCTTTTGGTCCAGCTAAAACGAGCGAAAGTTCCAAAGAATGATATCATACAGTTTTACAAGACATGTATTAGACCAGTTTTGGAGTACGCATCCATTGTATTCTACCAGTTCCTGCAAAAGTACCTCAGTGAAGAAAAAGAACGGATCTAAAACGTGGTCATTGAATTATATATTCTGGTCTCAGATATGAAGACGCCCTAATGGAAAGTGGCTTACCAACACTCCACGAGACGAGGAACAAGGCTTGCGAGAAATTTTTAAATCAAATTTTAGAAAATCTTAATAACAAACTATCTATAGTTTTATATCAAAGGTGGACGTATCTTCGAATTAACATTCCAAACTTTAAAACAGGACAGTACAAAAATCCTTTTTAATAGCAAGTATAGTTTCAATGTAAATAGGCAGCCCCTTTATCTATATTTTTACCTGCAATATGACTAGTATAGTGAAGAAAGTAAGTAATTTCCATATTTATCTTTAGTATAATTACATAGGTGATTATTGAAAATTCTCCACGCTGATTGGTTGCCGTTGAGGTGATTATTAAGCGATAATCACCTAAGCGATTTTCAAAATGGCGGTCGAAGCCGTTTTGTCAATTAAATGGCGAAGAAATGTGCATTTTAAAATTTGTTTCCAAATAATCACCTATGAAATTATACTAAAACAATTATTCACCTCGGGCTCGGTGATTATCGTGAATAAAAACCTCGACTTCGTCTCGGTTTTTATTCACCGATAATCACCATGCCTTCGGTGAATAATTGTTAATTAATCACTATTTGTAATCACAATGTAATTCAGTAACATGTGTGTAATTTAGTGATAATTAAACTATCTATCTATATATTTATCTATCCATTTAACTATATGATTTATTACAAGATATTTTGAAATTCCGCAGTAACAATACCTTCTCCTCTCCTTGGTTCTCCAAGTGAACTTGCTGAAGAAAGTCTATGAATCCTCATCTTAGACTTCAGCAAAGCCTTTAACTGGATAGACCATCATAATTCTAATAAAGAAAATGGACGAAGTGACGATCGATCCCATCTTGATTGCATGCATGGACGAGAAGCTTCGTGACTGTGATAAAACGGCGAGAAAAGATAGGAAAAATTTACCTCTAGTTTTGAACAAGTAACCTGTGGTGTTCCTCAAGACACTGTCTTAGGTCCGATCCTGTTCATAATAACGATTAATGATTTATTGGGACAATAGATGGAAATATCTCGACGATTCAACCCTTTCAGAGACCCTCAACACCAGTCAAGAATTAAAGTCTTCAAAACGTCTTTACATGCTTAGACTTCTTAAACGAGATAAATCGTAATCAATCAATCAATCAATCAATCACAAATAATATTTTTATGGACGAAGAATTGACCCAACATCTTAACGGCTTAATAAATTATCAAGCAATGGATCCCGAATGTTTTTCTCTGAATAACGATGGGACATTTGGTTAGCCACCTTGACTTCACCTGTCTTAGAAAAAATCCTGACAACATCAAGGTTATTTCTGAAACAGATTAGGTGAGGGTGGTTAAATTACATGATTGCCGAGAATGTGAAGTTGTCAGCCATTTTTTAAAGGAGTTGCTGTTGATAACAATAATGAATGAATGAATGAATGAATATATAATTGATCATCCCTGAAAAGGGCTTTTCAGAATCAATATACTACAATAGTTACAAGAGTGTATATAATCTAAGATAGTAAAGTTAGAACTGCTATACTAAAACTATATTTACATTGTCTATTTAATTCTTTAACATACATGAAATTATTTGTCGATTAAAATTGTCTTAATAATTCTTTCTTCTATCTAATTAGTACTCCATCCGAAACTGTCTCAATAACTCTTTCTTCAAGTTAAATTTAAAAACACTAATTGATTCGCATAGTTTAATGTCAGGAGGTAACTCATTCCATAGTTTTGCTATACGATACTTAAAGGATTTCTGTCCCTTTACACTTGTAAAAAGTGGTAAATTTAGCTGGTCAGATTGTCTAGTTGTCCTTCTGCTGACAGCTTCTCTTGTAGTAAATAGAGAGCTCAGGTAGTTGGATGCCAATCCGTTCATACATTTAAATGCGAGCACTGCGTCCCGGTAAAATAAGTGCTTTTTCACCGGGATCCATTGTAATTCCTTTAGGATTGGGGTCACGTGATCATTCTTCCGGAGTCCGCCAATGATACGTGCCGCAAAATTCTGTACTGACTGAAGTTTCTTAATGTTTCCCTCGGATGTCGTGGACCAGACAGATGAGCAGTAGAAGAGTTTACTAAACACCAGTGAATTAATGATTGTAATAAGTAATTCTTTATTAAAGACATGCTTAACTCGGTTAATTTGTCCTAGGGCAGACATGCATTGAGCTGACACTTTAATGATGTGTTCATTAAAATTGAGATTGCGATCGAAAGTTACACCCAGGTCGTTTATCGATTCATTTGGAGTAAGTGCTTTGCTCAGTAAGGAGAGTTGAAAACATTCTGGTAGTTTGGCGACCATTTGTCTGCTTCCGTAAACCATTAGTTGAGTTTTACCTGGATTTATTAGTAAAAGATTTTGGAAGCACCAATTTCGGATTCTCTCGAGATCTTCATTTATGAACAACATAGTTGAGTCGCACTCTTTGGCTGAAAAGCACATGTACATTTTTGTGTCATCCACATAACTTTCAGTAGGGCACTTACTAGTTATTGACATATATGCTAAACAGCAAGGGTCCCAAAATGCTTCCTTAAAGCTTCGGATAGTGTGGAATTAATACGGACAGACTGGTATCGATTGGTCAGATAACTCGTGAACCAGTTTAGGGCTTCAAAAGACAGCCCAACATCTTTGAGTTTGCTAATCAGAATGTCATGGTCCAAGCTGTCAAATGCTTTGGACATATCCAGTAAAACAACTGCGGTTTATGTTCTTAAATGGTTTAAAACACGTACGGATTTGGTAAGGCTCTGAAAAGTTACGAAACAAACAAACTTTATTAAAACAGAGCAACAGATACTGCGTGGTACATAGAATACAAAACATATTAAATTTACAGAGAGAAATTTATAATTGATTAAAATTTCTTAGGACATCGAAGCAATACTTGGCTACCAATGTCCCCACGGATTTATCTTTCATTGCAATAACATACATAAACAAGTTATGATTATTAAAATGAACGAAACAAATTATAAAATCTGCTCTGAGATCAGTAAACCTTGTAATGTTAAAACAAAATGTTGTTCGTTTCCTACTACCTGGTCAGTTAAATCGCAATGTTGACAAATTCTTTTGTCGTATGGAACATTGCTATATCAACCAATTTCAACAGGTATTAATCTATGAGTTGAAATTCTGAGATTTGTAACAACTTGACGATGTTTAACATTAATTATAAACACAATTATTATGGGCATATTATCTATATATCTATCTATCCATTTAACTATCTGATTTATTACAAGATATTTTGAAATTCCGCAGTAAGAAGGCCTTCGCGTGCTTGCCTGGTCAACAAGTGAACTTGCTGAACGTAGTTCCTTCCATGCAATATTAAATTGGCGCTCAGTTTTGAGAAGAAAGTCTATGGATCCTCCTCTTAGACTTCAGCGAATCCTTTAACTGGATAAACCACCATATCCTAATAAAGAAAATGGACGAAATGGCGATCGATCCCATCTTGATTGCATGGATGAGAAGCTTCCTAACTGTCAGAAAACGGCGAATATAAAGATAGGAGAATTTACCTCTAAAGTAACCTGTGCCCTGTGGTGTTCCTCAAGACACTGTCTTAGGTCCGATCCTGTTCATAACGATTAATGATTTATTGGGACAATAGATGGAAATATCTCGACGATTCAACCCTTTCAGAGACCCTCACCACCAGTCAAGAATTAAAGTCTTCAAAACGTCTTTACATGCTTAGACTTCTTAAACGAGATAAATCATATTAAATAAATCAAAAATCATATTTTTTATGGACGAAGAATTGACCCAACATCTTAACGGCTTAATAAATTATCAAGCAATGGATCCCAATGTTTTGCTCTGAATAGCGATAGGGACATTTGGCTAGCCATCTTGACTTCACCTGTCTTAGAAATAATCTTGACAACATCAAGTTATTTCTGAAACAGATTAGGTGAGGGTGGTTAAATTACATGGCTGCCGAAAAAGTGAAGTTGTCAGCCATTTTTTAAAGGAGTCGCTGTTGATATAGCAATAACAATATTTATGTTCTTAAATGGTTTAAAACACGTACGGAATTTGGCCTTTCTCATGACGAAGGTCTAAATCCGCCATTTTTGGGTACTACTTTATGAACAACGTGCAAAATATAAGCGATGTGAAAATAATTTTTCAAATATTTAACTGTAAATCGATTTATAATGATTATACTTAGTTATAGAAAGTTTCATTTTCACTGCTTACTATCCCTGTTCTAAAAAGGTTGCCACCCAAAAATGGCGGCGTGAGAAAGGCTAATTGGTAAGCCTCCGAAAAGTTACGAAACAAACAAACTTTATTAAAACAGAGCAACAAATACTGCATGGTACATAGACTACAAAACATATTAAATTTACAGAGATAAATTTAAAATTGATCGAAATTGATTGATCAAAATCGCAATGTTGAGACTTGAATTGTATATATGTGCAACGTTTGAGTATGATTGACAAGAATGAAGTCATGATATACCATGAGATGATGAGAAGTATAGAGATGTGTGTCAGATACTGCTTTGCCGGATATACCAGATGCTACCGGATTGTAGTCTACCGGATAATAACCGAACACTGATGGTGGTACTTGGACTATACGTCACTATTAACTTTTTATCATTATCTGTTTAGTTTGTGGTACAAGGTCAGACAATATACAACAGAAAGAAAAGCATGGGAAAATACTTCTAATTTTGTTGTCAAGGCAACACAGTCGTTCCCAGGCCCCTTGCACTCATTTTGCATAACTAGTTGCATTTATCTATGTGTAAGTCATTTTCGAATTATTATCATGCAAGTAAACTTTTGGCATGCATAGGTATGGTACACATACTTCTGATATTATTTTAACCTTATCAGTACCATGAATAAAGCTGTTTTATAAAATTGGCGCAAGGGGCCTGGAAACGACATTGTTACCTTGGCAACAAAATTAGAAGCGTTTTTTCAATGCGTCTCATCATGTACAATCAGTATGCAAAATTTCATTTGATTTGGACCCATAATAACTGAGCTATGCTTCAGTTTACTATTCGATAAACATACTTACGCAACTAATGGCGTCACACGTGCTGAATCAACAATTTATATTTTGCACATTTTTGCGTATAACGTCGGAACTAGATGAGATAGAATAGAGCATTAAACGGCCAACCGGCTTATTTTTTCATGCTCTTTCAGATGAAGCAATAAAAATTTTGGTTGCCAATGTCCTTTAACTGTAATTTCGTTTTAATATGTCACGTGTCCGGTAGAGTTAGTGTTAGATTAGTGTTTCACAATATCTTAACGCAAAACAGACGGTTTTGTGGTTATAAAGTTCCAGTACTATCCGCTAAATCTCAATGATATTCTATACTAGTACTGTAGAAAAAACCCAAAGTGTCTTGTAGGACGTCTTTTTCTTTTGTATTTGCTTCATGAACTATTAATAATTATATAATACCCTTAAGAATTCATGCGATTTCATTGGTTGAGAGCCATGATCTATTAGAGGACAGACGCACGGAATGACACGCGCTGAATCGGCTATCGCTCAAATTCGACGAGAGTCAGTGAAATAACTGTTTTATTATATACACTGTTTTATTATATACACAAGGTCTGATTTCACAGACTTTGCTTTTTGGATATTTTCAAATATTTTTCTATTTTGTTTATGTTTTTATCTTCGCTCTTTCGGCCGATTATTTTTTCAAAAATATATATAGTTTTTAATCATTATAAATTTATAAACAATTTGTGGGAGTTTTTTCATTGTGTTTTTAATCCTGTAAATGCTATAAAAAGCGAACAACTTGCCGTTTTCTCGTTTGCAAAACGTCATTGCCACCATTTTGTTTTTCTCTACTAGCAGCTAGGATATGAGCTAATATCCTGCTAGTAAAGAACCAATCAGATTGCAGAATACCTCATATCCAGACCTTGTGTATATGATAAAGAGTCTTATTTGCTAATACTGCGATTTGTTCCATTTTCGTAGTCTTCGTCCGCCTACCTACTGTGTTATACAAGGCGAGGCGCTAATACAAGACAAGATGATCTGGGCGATGAGCAAAGAATGGAATACGATGATGAATCACCATCTTCAGCACATGAATCAACTATCGCGGGCACAGAAGATGTAAACGATATGGTGTGATTCAACCATACTATATATAATGTTCCAAAATTCACTTCAATTCGCGTACTGCACATTGAGTAATGGCGCATTAAATATTTTATATTTGGCGAACTAGATCCAATAGCCGGCTGGAAACTCAGTGCTAGTCACGATGCCTTCATGGCTATAGTTTGAGACATTGATCTTGGAATTGAGTAGTTGCTGTATTAATGGCCTGTTCATAGTAGCCCGGTTAGTCGGGAGGCTCCCTGAATGAATGATTTCATATAACTGTTTTATTCCACGAAATAACCTGCTTCGGTAGGACGCAATTATGTAAACATGGCGTCTTCAAAATATTTTTTGTTGTAATTTAACAAGCTGTATACGTTGACGTTGTTTGTATTTTCTGACTGTGACTACAGTGTGTATAAAAAAACCAGCACAGTTCGAAAATCTCCGCTAAACTGCAAATGCTGTATTGGCCGTTCACGCACATTGAAATGAATATAACTGGAACGCCACCTTCAGATAAACTGTCTATCTTTTTCTTGGAACGAAATCTTACCTCCATGTTTATATCATGATGGACTGATTGAACGCTCTTCGCAAACGTGAAAAGACCGAGACTGGCCTTCAAGTCGGGCTTCAAATTTGCGTTTGGAGGTAACGTTCCAGTTATATTCATTTCAATGTTCACGCACAATTTATTAACATCAAATCCTCTGATACATTGATAATTCATAAAACTCCTAAATTTGCACCCTATAAATCCAAATTGTGTTTTAAGCCTTCCATTTTTGTGCGCATTTTTTAAAGTGGTTTTTAAACACAACCCGCATGCACTCGAAAATTTACTTCTCAAAAAGATACTACTTGCCTAAAGATGCTAGTAGACCCCGGACTAACGATGCTTGTATTAAGTTTTCAAACATTTTGAGGATTTTGCAGTTTAGCGGATATTTCGAACTGTGCTGTTTTTTATGTACATCCTGTATACGATAGGGTTGGCTGAAATCTCACCTATAGCCAGATTGGCTCGTTTTCATATGAGTACACAATGATTTTTATTCGCATTAACAATGACAAAGGATGCCACTCAGGCGAGAATCCGGTTTGATAGCTTGGCTCATATGAACAGGCCTTCGCTTTTGGCAAGAATTCATAGAGAATATTTAGTTCCTAAGAGCCTGTATATGGAGGGAAGTTGCCTGGTAATTAGCCGAATACTTGGCAATGACGAAATCCCGACTATTATAGTAACTTAATTGCGGTGCCCAAACCACAGACGAAGCTGCGTTAGTTTGTGAGGCTGTTAGTTTGATAGTTTGTTCGGGATCGTAAGCCTTAGTATTTATTCTTATAGTATGTCTTCGCATTTGTGATGCGCTTGTTTTGCGCATGCTCCACAGCACCGCACTGGATCTCGCTTAGACCAATATGTTGCCATGGAAACATTTGACCAAGTAACAATATTTCGTCAGTTATGCTTTTTGTCCCGCCAAGTTGAGAAACTCGGCTTTCTCGAGATACAGGTAACTCACCTCCATATAAACAGGCTTTAATACATTTTCTGGCAATATTTGAACTTCTGTATTATTACAACATTGAATTAGTGATTGCGTTGGCAGTGTACTTTTGAAATAGGTAGTTTGAGACCACAAAATGATTTTTTATTTGTTGATTCACATTCTCAGTGGTTTTCTTGAGTTACATTTAACCTAAACGACAAAGTCCAGAAGACATAGTCAATATATGTAATTAAATTAAATATTTTTGAGTATTTTTGCTGCTAGTGGAGTAGTGATTTTATGTTGCGAGACTCGAACAAACAAGCAAACTTTCCATGTGATAAACACCGCATGCACAAAAAGAAAGTTCCCCCTAACAGGGCCGTAACTTAGGTATTATGGCTGGGGGGGGGCAAAAGGGCGTGGCGGAAGTTGTGCCCGACGGACATTTCAGGCACTAAATATTTCTTTTACCAAAATTGTTGGCGAGCGGGGGGAGGGATAAATTTTTTTTCGGACATACCATTCTTTACTAAGTTACCGACATTTGTACAATTAATTTCTCAGTAATATTTTCACCATTTTTCCTACAATTATTACTTTTCATAAAATTATGTACAATTTTCCGCCGAATTACATATTTTTTGTCCGACGAGCGCGTCGTTAAAATTGCCTGACAAAACTGCAATATTAGAACATTGGGGGTCGCACTTCCCCCCCCCCCACTAAATACCCAATTACAAAATTAACGTGTTACTGTGTTAACAATTCTCTTGGGGGCGGGCCACTGACTGCCTCCTCCGCAGGCTCTCGTCGTGTCATGGGAAGGTCACGATTTCGAGAGGGCCTGCGGAATTTTGTAAAATGAATAAATGTTGTTTTGAACCTGCTTTGTTAAAGAAGGCAGTTTTGTTCGTGCAACGTTGGTGTAGACAACAAACCTTATCGTTAAAAAATGCCTCCTTCCATGTCCTAAGAGTCGCCAGTTTAATTTACAAGTTTCACGCCGCTTTTTTATATCCTGTTTATATTCAAGATTATGTAGAAATTACTTGCTGACGTGACGCCGGCGCCATTTTTTTTACAAGATTCCGCAGACCCTCGCCAGATCGTGACCTCCCCATGACGCAACCAGGGCCTGCGGAGGAGGCAGGGCCACTGATATATCAGTGGGGCGGGCGTTATCGTCCATAGTAACTGGGTTCCAGGGCCTTTTTTAAGGATATGTAACTGGAGGGGACATATTTAGCGGGGGACCTCGAGAAGTTCCAGTCGGCAAGTCTGTATCACTGCAGCTACCAGCACATATATGCATGGTTTAACTAATAAGTATACGTCATAGGTTAGCAGTCAGGTCGTAACTAGGATAGACAACCGAGTCGACCACCGAAGGTGCGAACATGTCCCCCAGAAAATTTTGGATTTTCTGAAGCTCAGATATAAGCTATTTCCAGCATTTTGAGGAGTTTTTCAACAAGAAATTAACCTTATAAACAGTGACACAATTACTGCAATTTCACAGTCTCGCAAATGTAATCCGGTCCCAATAAAGCAGCATGGTGTGATGATGCGGTAATGAAAATGTGCGTGGTATAGTATCATTCACCACACTTCAAATTTTACAGTACTGTATTACATGTATTGGGGTATTTGAAATCGACACATTCGTCTTCTCAGTGCCACCGAAGAGCAAGATAGGGTGGTCTCCTTGGAGTATCTTTGCTTGGAAAAACTAAACTAGAATTTCGTCCTAAAATGCCATTTCATGCCTTGTGATTAATCCGCAGTTTTCTTCACGCCCGCCCTTTTCTCGGCCCGCGCGCAGTTCTCCCACCCTAAAGACCGATTCCATTTCCATAGAGTTGCCACAAGTCGACCTCGAACGAAACGCGAGCGACTGCAATGGAAAATGGCCTTAAGGTTATCTTTTGATGTCACGCAATCACGAAATAAACTAGTCCCTAACCTCAACCTCCTGACCACTTATATTTCGTAACATACTAACATTTAAAATTTGAAGTCAATACCTAACCCGCGAACAGGCATACTCTGGGAACGAGATTGGTCAATTAGCCTTTCTCACGATGACGAATATCCGCCATTTTTGGATGGCATCCAATCCTCGTTAACCAATGCAGACAATTAAAACAATGTGAAAATCATTTTTTCAAAATAAACTAACCAAATACAAGGCAAATTTACCATCATTTGTCAAAAAAATTAGAAAAAGTCGCTGTTTAATAAGACCCTGTTACACGGTGGAATTTTTCATGCAACTTGTCTCGCAATGTTTAAAAAAAGATTTTGATAATGCATTGCAAGAGGTGTTACCATAGATATGGGTGTTACCATAGTTAGTAGAAAATAAACATGGTTTGGAAGCTTGACAAAAGTCATTGTTCTATGTTTTTGTCCAAGTTTATGGAAATTTGTGCACTCGGATTCTGTATAATGAGGCGATTACCCAATAAAAACCTTAGTTTCAATCGCTGAACCGTAATATTTGAATATTAATAAACGCAAGACAAAAGATTTGTGCACCCGGAAATATATTTCAACATCAGTTGAAGTTTGAATAGAAAATTCTTTGAAGTTTACCGCCTTCCTAACCATGTTTATTTCTATTAACTATGGTGTTACACGCTGCAATGATATTCATGCAACTCGCAACGATACGGGACAGAGGCATGCGAAGGGAATAGCGTGTACTGGGGAGAGCCAATAGGAACTCTCCAAGCATTAAACATTGCGAGACAAGTTGCACGAAGCCATGTTACGCTGCAATGCTAAAAATAATTAGTGCAATCGTTGCCAAAAGTAGAACCGACTTCTACTCTGTGCAATGCTTCATGCAACTTCTCTCGCAACGATTTTGACCATTGCAAGGCATGTTAAACGGTGCAATGACTCGTGCAACTTGTCTCGCAACGCCATTGCGAGACAAGTTACATGAGAAATTGCACCGTGTAACAGGGCCTTTATGTGGAATTATCTCGCAGACTTCGGCTGAAATGCCACCCAAAAATGGCGGCGTGAGAAAGGCTAATTGATATTTGATATCTTGATATTGTCACTGCCAGTCAGCTGTCGGAAACCAGGAACGACATTTGTCAGGGACTCTAGGCGCTAGGCATACCTATTTTAAGAAATTAAAACGTCTACAATACCATATAACGTCCCTAACATGTAAGTAGTATAACTAGTTTCTTTTTACATACTTCCAGTCTTCCAAAACAGTTTAGTTGCAACGTTTTCTATTCAAGGTTTTCAATCTTCCCCTATGCATAGGTTATAATTTCCTCCCACTCCCACAGTAATGCATTCTTATCAAGCTAGGTATTCTTTACGCCGAGACGTGGGAAGTGAACTGAGTGAGGACATTGAATGAAACAATCAATGTAGTTAAGTAGATACCGTAGACGATGTTCCAGTGTCATTGAACGATCTAAAGCCATCTGTTTCAACCGCAATAGAGTAAACTATGTCATACCTAGCAATGCAGAAAAATATTCAGCAAAAGCAGATAGT